CAAAACGCTCCTTTAGAAGCCACATAAAACTGTAAAAGACAATATATGAAAAAGCTTTCTTATAGAAAAGAAGAACACCATCCCATGAAGCAGATTTCCAGATGTTTGGAAACATTAGAATTTCCTGTCAGTATATTTAGGTAACATTAAAATGAGGTTAACTTTCCATTCTGCCATCTCTCTTCAAAGATCAAAGAGCGCTCACTGCATAAATTGCCTTATCGGTAATTCGTTGAAGTAAACTATGGAAACAACTTTATAAGAAGCAGTAGTCTCCTTTTGTTGGTTACAGTATGACCAAGCAACCTTTTCTTAAAATTGGACTTTTTTTTTTTACCTCATTTTATACTAAATACAAAGAGAAAAATTTAAAATGCTATGGATAGAAGTAAAGAGAGAACTGAAAACTCCCTTCCTGTGTTCAAGTAAATCCTAGTAATTGGCGCAATGTCTAATAAAATAAGTGTACATAGACACAAATGTAATCAACAATATGTTATGGTTGTACGGCTAATTTTAAAAATTTATTTAGGGATGGTTTTGAGGGTTTGGACACTTAGAGTATCTTTGAAATTTAGATTGCATCCTTAGACCTTTTTGTAACCTGCAGAACCTAACAGGGATTTTATTGATTTAATGGAAAATAGAGAAGCAAAAATTCAGATGTTACAATAACCCCACCCCCCCAAATGTTTAAATATTGCATGTATTAAATACTTTTAGAGGCTGTAGCTGCAAAATAACGTGAGATTCTCCTTTTCTTGGGAAATTATTATGGGTTGGGGGGGGGGGGTTGTCTGGTTTTTTTTGTCTGCTTAATAATTTCTATTTAAGGAAAAGTAGTGCTACTGGAAGAGAAATTAGTAAATTTTTGGCAATACTGTACAAGTTTACTGTGCAGCTCATATAACCTTTCAGACATGTAAAATACACACCTTTTAATGGAAGTTGGGGTTTTGTAGAGGAGTGCTGGTTGGTTTCTTTAATTTCTTTTAAGGGTGAGCTCTTTTTGGTTATCCTCAAGCTACAGTAGAAAGCCAGTTTTTAATATACACATTAAAAAAATTATCAAGATGATAACAAGTGTAACAAAAGATGGATTTATTATTTTTTTTAAATCGCTTATCTAGTCTTATACATACATGCTCTTGGAATATCTTTAAGGCAGAGCCTTCAAGTTTCAAGGAATTAAGGCATCAACTTTGGCTGGACTTCAGTATGAGCCAAGTGACTGACTTACTTTAACTTCTTTGCAAAATGTGGTTTTCAGAAATACTTAGCTGCTTATTTCAAGGCTTTTTTCCAAATCCCAGTCTAGAAACATACCCCTTAAGAAGGAACTTCATAAGCACAAGAACTGTTCACATCTGCCAGTTCCAGTTCTGTGCATCCCAATGTCAAAATGTTGCGTTCTTGAAATTATATCTACTTTCTTTTTTTTTTCTATTTTAATGGATTTGAAACATTTTCTAATTACTTAGGAACTGACATTAATACAATTCTTTATTGTGTCTTTAAAATAGAAACTCCTTGTGTCCTGAAAAGAGTTGTAAATGAAATATCTGGAAATGAATTTCATTTCATAGTAATTTTGCCGGGGTTTTGAAAAAATAATTTGAGTTTTGATTTTTTTCAAATGTACTGAAATATCAAGTATTCATTTATTCATCTCTCCTTTTTATATCATTGTTAACAATACTAGACATAGTTTTATGTCATATAATATTTTATTCAGTTTGTTGTCTGGTTTTAAAGAGACAAGTTGTTTTTCTTTTTACTCTTATTTGGAAAGGTTCTCTTATTTTAAAACCTTTTTGAAGTTGTCTTGAAATATAAAAATAGAACATCTGTGACAGATCTGTTTTGAACATATTTCACGTTTCAGGATCCAAGGAGATCTGGTGGTCTGTGGTATTCGCTTGTTAATTTCTTGATGAATGGGTAGAAAGGCCACGAAGTGCACTCAGTACAGCACGTCTTCCGAAGATAGATGATCTCAAATAAATTCTATTCCCAATCAGTTTTTGATTTGTTAGGTGTTAAACCATTTCTTTGTAAGGACAGTGTTTACAAGCCTTGTAATGAGACAGCCCTGTGAGACCTTACTCTTCTTGCTGTAATTTTGATAAATGGAACTCTAATTCATAAAGGATATAGTGATTGAAGGGCAACTCTGGGTCTCGTACACTTTCATTTAGATAAATGTTTGGTACAGTACAGCAAAACTGAGGTGCACTCAACAAAGTGATAAATTTAAACAACAGCCAAACCAGAGCTTTTTTCCATCAAGACAAAGAAGCGCCATTTACTATATTTCTTTTAGATAAATGTATGTTTAATATTATAAACCAGAATGGATTTTAGAAACATTTGTCTTGTTGCTAAGCTCCAAATTTGCCAAACTAATTTAATGCCTTCTACTTGACCACGTTTCTTACTTCGGTGTGTGGCAATATTTCTGTAATCTGATAACTGGAACCCTCAGCACTCGGTATTTAAAATACACTAAATTTCAGGTTCTTCTGATGCATTTTAAGTGTTAGTAATAATTTGGGGCTTGTAATTTTTTTTTTCTTGTAATTTTAAAAATATGTCTTCATGCATAAATAATTTTAAAGAACTGACACTAATCTAATCAGTTACGACAGGAATGGTTGACTCTATGATTATTCCAAATTAGTACTTTTGAAGTTATTCATTTGAAGATTATCACATTTTATAAAGCTCCAAAACCTTCATAACACTCCCTAGAACTACCAAAAAGGAAGAGAACAGTATTTTCATGCTTCCTTCCTCCACCGTGGTAGTTCATCTCAGGCCCTGTCTCCTTTAGTGTCAAATGCTTCACAGCAGGAGCTATTACTTGTGTCAAATGATGCTAAACTCCCTTGTAGTAAACACAAGTGTAACAAGACCCTGATCTAGTGATTAAATACTCAGGACAATTCTGACGTAATAAAACTGAAGGTCTGTTACAGCACATTACTCCTTTGTGTTTTTCCAAACTCCTACAAATCTTGCTCCTTTTTGTGAATTGGGAAGGAAAAAACAAAACAAAACAAACAAAAAGAAAACCCAAAATGAACAAAAAACCAAAAGCTTGGGCATAACGCTGAAAACTTTTCCAAGCATTAGTTACTTGATTCAATTTTAAATTGGGTGAATAATTACATTTATTGGTACTAAGTCATAACCTACGCAAGAGAGGCAGTAATCACAGCCTAATAACTGAACACAGCAAAACACAGAGTATTACTGTATATCAGTATTGTCTTAATCTCTATCAGTATCGGTATGGTCCAAATGGAGAGAGTAAAAAATAGGAAGGTTAGAGAGGCTGGCCTTAATTTGTGGCTTGGTGAAAAAAAAAAAGGGGGGGAGGGGGGATTTTTCTTACTTATTTTTTGTGACCTGCTCTGTAGTTTCAGAAATAGCAATTGGGATAATAGCAATAGTATACAAAAGGTTAATATTAGGCAATGTAAAACATGAGGTTGTCTCAGCCTGTGGTGGAGTCCGATATCAAGTGGCATGCTAAAAGTGATCTTCAGAGTAAACACACTAACAGAAAAACATGCGTCAGGCATATTTTATATGGTGTGACTCTCCTGTGCACAAACTAATTAAAAGACTCATATAGGAGCAGGAAATAAAATCATAACATCTTCCCCACTGTTTAGAATAACAAAACTGTCTGACGCATCAGTTCCGTTTCACACATCTATCTTCACTAACCTATCTGCTTACTGTATTCCTCTTAGTTGTCCCATATTAATATGAAGCCATGAGTCTTATATTGGGCTTTATCTCATGATTTTACATCTGCCATAATTGTATTCATCATGTGACGTTCAGGCATTGTGGAAGACAAACAAAATCCGTACGTGCCTGGTTTTGCTTGGATTTCACTCATCATTCTGTAGCTTAGTAGTAAGCAAATATCCAAATTATCATATAGAAAGGAGAGTTTAGGTTTGGGTTTTAATTTCTTGGTTGGCAGAACTGGAGATGCCCATATCTTGTACAGTCCAAGGTGAAGATGCAGAGGTTTCCATTTAGGAAAATAAAAACCAGAAAGCTTTCTCTCCTAAGGCTACTTTGAGTCTGTAGTACTGCAAATAAAAACTAATGGTCTCTTCCCATCTAAGAAAGAAATGCTGTGTGGGTGTCACAACAGTACATGAAAGCTGTTTCTGATATGAAAGCTACCATCATTTGACCATACTATGATTAATTTCTTACATCATGCAAATAAACTCTGGCAAGCGCTAGTAGGACCTTCCCAAAATGCAAGATGGTATATCTCCTGCCATAAGGAACTATCAGACTGAACATACAAAGTCAGTTGTAGGCAAGAAGAAAGGATAAGACATTCCTGTGAAGTTCTTTGAGGTAATTGGCACATGTCCATACACCAACATCTTTATTGTGCTCCTTAAAAACACACACACAGATGCACACCAAAGTTTCCTCACCATGCTTGTCCTTTTTAAGTCCTTTCTGAATCTCGGCATAGCCCACCTTGTTGTTACTCTGTATTGAGATAACCCGTCTCCAACTTCACCAACCTGTCCCTCCTATGTCTAAGATGAAAATCATGACAGATTTTGAATTCCCAGAAGCAACTCCTTTATTTAGAGTGGGTGGTTTGAGCTCTCAGAGGTCAGTTAGAATCAGGACACCAGGAACCCAAGAGAAACTCCTACTCAATTTCTTGCAGGTGGAAAACTAATGGAAAAACATTGAACATCAAGCAAATAGCAATTATTAAAAGCAGGAGAGTCTTTGTGAAACAGTTTGTATTTTATTCAGGATACATTCTGAAAGACAGAATAAGGCTGTGTGTTTTGTAAACCTTGATAAAGTTTTTTGAAAATGTTCCTTCCCTTTTTTGATACAGATGATTTATACTGGGTTTTTTTTTTTTACTACTTGACTGTGGTTGTTTTATATTTAAAATATTATTCATCTAAATTCACAACATTTGTAACTTTTTTTAGGCACCGAAGAGGATGTAGTGAAGTCAAAGAAAACTTTCCGAAGTCAAGCTGTGGTAAATCAGAATGCAGAAACAGAGCTTATGCTGGAAGGAGATGATGATGCTGTTAGCCTGCTCCAAGAGAAAGAGATTGACAACCTTGCAGGTAATTATATTTTTCATTATAACTAAGATATGAGCCAATAGGCTCTTTTAAACTTGCTGGGTTTTAACCTTCATGGATAGTGTCTTAATATTGACAACGATTGATATTGACAGTGGAGATTCTGTGTGTTCTAGATTTAATATGATGTCCTACTTCCATGAACTAGGTGAATTGATTACAAAGTGTGTGCTCATTGCACAGTCTTTCAGCAAAGATGTGAGAAATAGCAATACTTCAAGTGCTTTTGTTACAGCCTGGGACTTCTTGTTGAAAATTGTGTAAAACTACTGTGGGAACGGCCCTTTCTTATGATTAAAATGGAAATGCGGACTAATTCCACAACTCAGGGTTTGTGAGTCAGAGTGGGGTTGTGAGCATTCATGACCTGTTCCCAAGTGCCACGCAGATTGTGGAGAGACACCTGCGCTCCTGCTGGCACCCACTTCTCTCACTGGTGGAGTCAGGGGGGATCTGCAGTATCTCAACCCATCTGTCACAGCGAGGGAAAAAGTTGCCTGTTGTAAACAGGGTCTAAGAAGGAATGAAACTGTAACCAAGCTGTGAACTTTGTTAGTTAGCAGATGAGCTGGGAACGAATCCTCTGTAAAAATGTACATGAGAGATTCCTTCTGGTCCTTCTTCCCTGCGTGAAGGTATGCAGTGAGGTCTCAGTTTTATCCGTCTTCTAGCAGGTTCTGTTACAGTTCTGTCTGCAGTACTACCTTTCCTGGGGACGTAGTCTGGAAAGAAAGGCATGTTGAAGGTTGAAAATGCACTCTCCTTTCAGATGAGATAAAAACGTGAGAACTGTGAAATGCAATATGATTTTTTTTATATATTTTTAAAAGACCTTTATTAAATTACTCCACTAAGGGGAGGTTTTGTGATGTCTCAGGGTTTTTTTCAGCATAATTGAATTTCTAGGGTAGCTACCTTTGCTCCTGCACTTTCTTCTGATGACAAAGTGGGAATTTGTAGCAAAGATAAGATCATAAATGGATGGTAAAAGCAAAACAAACCAACAAAACAAACAAAAGCAAAAAATGCCTACATTAAAGTTAGTCTTATACTTTGAAACCAGAGCAGAGCTGAGGGGGGAAGGAAATGCTTTTATTTGGGAGCAACTTTCAGTATATGATTATCACAGTTAATATGTCACGCTGCTTGCTTTCTCAATCTGCAGCTAACCATGGCTGAGACGCTGTTGTCTTAAGTCAATAAAAGAGTGCGTCAAGCAGGACCATTAGTGGGATAATTTGATCAATGTCCCTTTCTTCTTTAGAAGGAAAACTCGGCACTGCTTTGACTAAGTTCTTATATCTAAGAACAGTGCTTCCAACCGAATATGCATACAGTTGCTATAGTTTAAAGGATGCAATATGCAATTACAAGATATTGATATTGAGATATTGATTAGAAATGCAAAGCGGACGTGAAAAATTCTTGCCCAGTCTGGCAAATCTCAGTCAGCTATGAAGTTCTTATACGTACCCCAACAATGCCATTTTATTCAAACACACCAATGCAATACAATCCCCGTAGCTACATCCCTCTGCAAAAACCTAGTATTTCAATGTGTCCTTAAGTATTTATGTATCCCTTTACTAGGGATCACTACCTATATGACATCCCCTGCTCCTTCAGGGCATAGACAGTAATTTTAGTCCTTTCACAGTTTGTAGAAATCGGGAGATATTGGTGGTGTTAGAAAAACAGAAATTATAGAAATAGAAACAAATTTACTGTTGAAATATTGACAGGACATCTGTCCTAACAGTGTCAGCAATTAGCCTATGTGTTCCCTATCAGCACTAACAGGGCAAGCAAGACACCTCCAAGTGTGGTGAGGCACTGTATATGTACCAAAAACGGTGAAGTTCTCAAAAAGAACCTACATTCCACTACGTCATTTTTACTATCAGATTAACTGCAGCCGTTGCTACTCGACTCTTGCTCATTTTTGCAGCTGAAATGATTTTGAGACTTAATGGTCACACACTGTATCATACGTGTCTTCTGCAAATTTTACCAGTCAGTGAAAAAAGACTGAGTCTCTTCGTACCCTCTGTTTTGCCTCATGAATTTGCATATAATGGTGGCACTGTTTTCCACAGTTCTCAGTTTATATGATGTGACTTGAGCCCAATAACTGAAATCAAGAAAAGCGGTGGGCAGGGAAGGTGGGGTTTATGCCTAAGAAGGTTAAAACAACATCTGACAGCTCTGAAGAGTAAAGCCACACTGTCCCTTCTTGTCTAATTCTTAAGAGTTATTTAGATTCAGTGTATGTGATCTGGAAACCTTTGAGAAATATCAAGTTATGGTATATCACAGCATCATTTATATCTAGTTACTGTTCAGAGTGGAATGACACGTAGGAATTTCTAGATGCAGATATGCCTCCAATTTAACTTTAAAGCTTAAATCAATTTAAACCTGGTTTACAATGATTTGGATTGTCTCAGTAAGGGATGGGAATTAAACAAGATCATTATAAACCAGGTTTAAATTGATTTAAGATTGTCCACATTTAACTAAAACAATTTAACATTGTTTATTCCGTGAAACTAAGGCACCTTTTAAAAAGACGAGACCTTAGGTTTTAGAAAACTTTTAACTAAGAGAATATAAATATTACACTATTTTGATTTGTGAAGTTAAAACTAAAAAAAAAAAAAGGAAAGTTTGAAACAGATTGAGACTGTTCATACAAAGTTATCTGTACATACCTTTTGTTCCAGAGACTCTTTATAGTTTTTCATCAACCATGTGGCACAAATCAATGTAAAGTTCACTTTGATAAATTACATATGGGATGGAGAATTTTTAAATAATTATAGTCTGAATATTTTTATTATATAATCTTAGTATTCCATATGTTGCAATGGCAGTTGGTCAGATTTCATTATATTAAGTAGCATTTTAATAAAATATAAAAATGAGATTCCATGTTATTATGGTCTTAGAATTATGACTTCTAAGTTTGCATGAAGATTTTTAACTAAAGCAGTATTTTAACTGTCTTACAGTATGAGTTATCGAAAGATGTTGTTCTTGTTTTAGCATTTACGTATTAAAATATTTTACATTTTTCTGTTCCAGTTTTAGCTCCCTTTCTTCCCAGACTGTTCACTTCAAGAGGCAAGTCACATCGCTGTTAGAACTAATGATTGAGATAGCCCATTCAATTTTAACAGTTTTCTAATATATTGTGAATCTGTGGGTAATACAATCAAATCCAATCCACTGTAGTGAGTTGATATTACTAACTCTTCTCCTTTTCTTTTCCTTTTCTGTTTTCTAATGCTGCAATGGGGCTCTTAAATACTTACCTTTTCTCTTAAGAGCCTGAGAATGCAAATTTGCTAACAGTTTGTCTTCTGCTTAGTAGCTGATATTTTCAAAATGAAAAATATGTGGATGTATGCTAATATCACAAGTTGGCATTCTCAAAGGGAAATATGTTTTAATAGATAATTAATATTCTTTCCTAAAACTTTTTTTTTGTTTGTTTAAAGCACTGATCTGGCACTAAAATAGGTCATAAAAAAAAAAAAACCAAACACCAAACAGAATAAATGTTGAACCACTCAGGTTTTATGAATTTTACATTTTAGAAATACGTTCTCTTCTCTTTGTTGTGAAGTTGCAGTTGACTTGCTGGGAATTGTTTGTGCGCATTTGAGAGCAGAATTTAACCTTAATGGCATTTTTGAAAGATACACGTTCTGTATCTGGAGCGCATTTTGTCTATTTTGTCATATGGCTGGTGGCATCAGCAAATAGGCCCCAGCCAAGCAAAGTATCCCTGATGGATTCTTTTGCTGCTTTCTAAAGAGTAGTTTCTAGAGAGAAAAAAAGGAAACAAAGATAGGAGGATATGAGGCTTTGAGTTATTTTAGGAAGACAAAAGGCTTTGGCAGGCATCTGTCTGGTTACTTGCATGGGCTCAATCAGCTCAGAACCTGACTTCCTCATAAGCCATGGTGAATTACAGCTTCACAACAGTCTTGCGAGAATAATTGTATATTATTCGGTCCGTTATACAAGGAGATTGAGCAACTCGTCCAAATAAACCCCAGGAAAGCCACTAACTGCCTTTAGTGCACCTTAGTCCTAATGTATCTTAACTTTCAGTACAGAATGTCCTCTTTTTCTTGGACATCTGTCTCTAGGTGGAAGAAAACCCCTCACAATGCAAACGTGCCAGGAAGGTTTGAGTGAGACGCAGCATCCCAGCACTGCCCTAACTTTCAGCAACACTGAACTTCAGTGTAGAAATATTTCTCGAAAGCAGAATTATTACTGCTAAACAAGAGCTGATCTTTTGTCCAAGCATGGGGTTGGACATGTTGAGCATGGGTAGCTAGTCCACATTGGCTTGAGGACTAAAAGTGATAAGCCCTCTATCCAGACCTCTTGGTAGTGTGCAGAATGTATTGACTTACTGCCCTATCCTAAGGAGAATGCTGGGTCACGAGTATTTGACAGCTTGTATTATTATTAATGAGGTATAAGACCTTTCACTTCCAGGTCATCTGTTTGAAGTCCAGACAAGACAAACATTATCAACATCTGTTTTGTGGCCTATGCAAAATAAGCCTTTTGTCTCATTTCAGACAAACTAACAGAAATCATCACGATTTTGAGCAATTTCCAATTGAAAAAATATTTGACACTGTCATTAGAGGAAATTGGAACGGTGCCAAAATTCAACTACATGCAGTTATAGTTAAAATTGTATAACAGTACCTAAAAAAAAAAAAAAAAAAAAAAAGTAAATCAGCCAGCCCTTAGGGAAATTTTCTATTCCAGGTTCTAACAAAGGACTCATTTACATTTCTGAAATTATTTTGAAGCCTTGTATAGGGCCAGATGCAGTAATAAAAGCACTAACACACCAAGGAACTCTAAAACCAAAAAAAGCTCACAAAATAACTATTTGGGATGGAAAACTTAAATACAATTGACTCATCTTTATATATATAATATGCATTTAA